ATACCCTTACTGCTGGATGCATTTGCTTCTTGAGAAAATCCCCATGTGTCAGACCAAATGCCAGTCAGCTTACTGGAATGTGTTGAAGTCCACTTTCAAGTCAGTGAAGCCAAGGAAATCAGCCCAACATGGGTGCCAGGGCTGGCAGGAAAGCAGATCTCAGAAAAACTATTCTAAAGATTAAGGAACATGCAAAACTCCTTATAAGATAAAAATAAAATAGACTCAGTCCAAACAGCAGCACTAAACCTTCTCGCAAAGTCCTACTGCTGACATTCTCCAGTTTGGAATGATGTCTATGCTTTGAAATTTATTTTTCTGAAATAATAAGAAAGGAGGCTTTCTCAGTTTAACAGTAAAATAAAGTATATTTGATTGTTTCAAAAGAGATATTTTTTAAAATATTCTTGTCTTGTTCATAACTTAAAATTTATAAAATTTGTTAATGATTATGCCTGTGGAAAAAGACTACTGTATTTTTCAGAGAGTTTCTGGGGGAGTAAATAGATATTTGCAACATATTTTCAATTTATTTTCTGTTAAAATAATGTTGCTCAAGAAAGCTAAGACACTTAATAAGTCTTTAATAATTTAATTTTTATTGAATTGTTTAGGTTATAGGATTTTAATATCAATTTTAAGTTTATTAGGTAACTGACAACTCTGTGAATTCAGAATATCCTTATTCTGTGTTTTGAAGGTACAGGATTGGCTATAGTATTAAGGGCTTTTAAAAGCATAGTAATTAATACTTATTTTCTTATCTGCACTGTTCTATTTTTTTTAATTAAAATTTAGTTCTATTTTTAGAGCTGCTAAGAGTAATTAAGGAGAATTTCAAAATACAACATTGCTCACTCTCCAAAGTCAAGAGGAAGCTATGATTTACTTGAAAATTTGAAAATTTGAGAAATAACTCTGCTAATTTGCAGGAGATGATTGTCTTTCTGGAACTCACATTTTTGTTCATTACATGCTCTTGAAATTTCACCCTGCTCCAGGCAGCCCCGAGCTGAAATTTAAGAGATGTCAACATAAATTGTTCCCTCTGGCTGTACAGGAAGTTCTTCTTTCATCACATCTAGACCTGCACCAAGAGCCAGACTGCCACTCACTGACAGCACTCAGATCCTAGAGGAAAACAGGGAACAGAAAACTTCACAGAAAACTTAAAATGGGAAAATGTGAAGTGTCACATTTTGGGCACTGTAGTAATGGTCAGAGGAGGGGATACTGATTGAACTAGATGTTAATGAGAAAACAACTGATTTCAGACTTCTTATGAAGCACTTGAAACATTAAATGATTTTAGTATTCTATTTAGTGTCTGGAATATATTGACCTGGCATATGAAGCGGTGGCCTACTGTAAAGTGCATATACTGATCATTAATAAAAACAAATAAAAATCATTAATTTCTTATAATTTTCTTTCTATGTTCCCAAAATACAAGATTATTCAGGAAAGGTACTTATATGGTCATAAAATACAACAAAATACATAATACTTTTCCTCATAAGAGGCTCCAATAATCCTCTGCTGGACAGGAGGAAGACTATTGGACTCCTTTTCATCCTGTGATGTGCAATCCAGATTATGATGTGTCCTCTGCAATTTAAGAATCACAGAATCTCACACTCTCATAACTCTCTCTCTTTCTCCTATCTTTTAAAAAGGACAATTCTTTTGCTCACCACCTGAAATTTTTACAGCTGAACTTCCATTTGATACTCTGCTGCAGCTGGAACACCTATTTCCACCAGAATCTCCATGCATCATGGGACACCACAGCAGGGAACACCTTCAGATATTTCTAAGCATACTGGCACCTTAGTTTAAAGGTCATCATTTCCTCTTTCTGTGGCAGTCTTCAGACATTTGCTCTTGCTGTCACACATAGTTATTGTTGTCAGGCAGCACAGTGCCTCTGCTATTATGTATAGATGGAATTTGATCTATATACTAACCTCTGAACAAATGAAGAATGTACAGATCAAATGCTAAAATCCCAACGAACAATATTAGCTTATCTTGTGAAAGGTATTATTGTTTTAGGATTGTTTAGGGCTGTGCTGATTACCATAACATTAGTGATTTAGTTTGTAAGTATTAATTTCTTTTTCTCTACAGCAGCTGCCTAAAAGTAAATAAATTGCTGCTTAACTTTTTGACAGGTGTGAAGGAAAACTAACAAACATTTATGGACGTAGGAAACATGGTAGTAATTTTGTTAAAAAGTAATTTTTAGATGAGTATAAAATTAATTTGTGCAATAAAATTTTGTATTCTGAATAGAATGCTTAATATTCTGCATATTTATATTTAAGATATTAAATTCTCAGAACGTGAATCAGAATATTTTGATTAATCACTTATTGTAGCAAGAAGAATGGAAGTGTCAAATTTAAACTTAATATTTTCAGAAGACAGAATGTTCAAAACAGACAACAAAAATTCTCAAAGTATTATAGGATTCTCAAAATTCTCAGCATGTCTGAGCACTGAATGAACAATTTGTTTTCTTGTCAGTGATTCAGAATATCCACAGCTACTTTCCAGCGACAAGGAAAATGTCATGCCAACTAGGATCAAGCTTTATTTTAAAGTTGAAGGCATGAAATAAGAACCAAGAAGACAATTGTACACCTGTTTTCAAAAGTAAAAAAGCATCTCAGATCTACCTTGCTTTTGAGAATTTGGCTGAGGAACATATTTCAGAACCCCAATAGCTCATAACATTATTCCAAATGTTCTACTCTGTATGCCTAATTAGGCTGCTGCACATTTGCATAAGCATGATGCTTCATGATTAATGTATAAGACACAGCATGGAGCCCTGAATAAATTCATCCACATTTCTACTGCAAATAACCAGCAAGCCTGAACTGTGGTCTATCATACCTGTAGATATGGCTTTGTATCATTTATAAAACTGTATAAACTGCATTATGAAGTCATACTGACCTGTAAACTTTTTTAACTAGAAATGTTATCAACAATAAAATGTTGGCTCTTATAAAGCTGCTGGCATTTATACTTTCTGTGATTTATAAGAGGTTTGTTTGTGGCTTTTTTTTCCCTGGTAAAATTAAGTATGAACTCTATAGCTTTATTCTCAAAATTGAACTGGATTATATTTGAAACAAAGTCTTGTTAAATTAATAGCCTAATAATTACTTTTGCACTTTTGCTCATGGGTTAATATTAACCTAAAGCAAACAACAACTTGCTCTTCAAAAAGGAGTAACATTTTAATAATTCAATAATGCATCCACTCACAGTCAAAATAAATAGGAAAACTCCTGAAAATGTTAACAAAGGTCTGATGAATAAAAGTCAGAGGATGCCACAGTAAGGGTGCCTGCAAAATGCAAGTCGGACTTTTAATGGTTAAGCAATGGAGATATCTGGAGAGACTACATGTTCTATTTACTACAATTCTTTGCACTAACATGAAAACTGACCTTAAGGGATCTTCCACTCAATCTTAAAGAAAAGATTTTAAAAATCCACTATTATTATTTAAAGACTTTTTCCTTATGCCACAAATAGCATGCACTGACTGTGATTTGTTTTCATACATCAACATGACCATTGTCATTGTCTTGGCCTAGCAGAGAAAGATATAATGTGCAATGTTACTGGCATCATCTCAAAGCTGGGCATAGAGTCAATCATATTTTGTGTACCAGGGAAAAGATAGAAACAAAATTATTTGATGTGCCAAGGAGTGAAAACTCTATGAGCTACCTCCATTTTCTTTCAAAATGAAATTTTAAATTTTTAAAAGAAAAAACATTCAAAGATTTGAGGTTTGGGGTTTTTTTAATCTTTGCTTTTGTGTATCAGTTAACACCTAAATACTACTATTTCACTAGTGAGCAGTGATTCGTGCCAATTGTCAGTGGGATTCAAAATAGCTTTGATTATTATTTATCTGCATTTTGATATCAAGAATAAAACCATGCCCATTTAAAGTATTCTACTTAAATAGAATTAAGGTTAGCATCCACTGAACATTAGGTTTACATTATTCTGAATTTAATACAACTATACAGCACTGTATGTATTTTTAATCTTTTCTACAAAAATAAGTTTATGCTTTGAATTAAATGCAGCCTGCCATGAGCAAGGAACCTACACCTCGTTCAGGTGAGCCCTGGTCAAAACAATCTATTTTTGGAAGAGATGTATGCAAATGTAATAGGCACAAAACAAGCAGAGGCCAAGATGTGAAGCTCTAGAGGAAGATATTCCCCACCCTAAGTAATAAAGCTGACACAAAACAATTCTATTTTATGATTCTTAAGCAACCTAAAGGAACACTTTTGTTGCATGAACTCCCTGATCTCCATATATCCATATGCAATTAAAAAAAATTTCAACATGGCAGAAACATATTGCCAAAAGCTGGTATATTTGTATTTGAAAGTGAGGGGATTTTCCTTGTTGCCAACTTTCTCTCTTCCCTTTGAAATTTGTATATTTCTATCTGTTCAGTGCACTCATTAAAATAACTAAAGAAGTCTAAAGAAATTAAGTTTTCCCTCAAAGTATATGATAATTTTGCTTTAGGGTTTAAAAATATTCAGATTCAGTCTGAGCAGCTCCTATGAGATCATTCCTGAACTCTTGTGTCTCCCTTTATAGAAGTTTTAGGGGGCTAAATCCACTTCACCATTGGCACAGGTTTTCTGCATTATGTTATCTCAAGAGGAATTCACTTTATAGCAAACACTGTCTGATGATTCTATAGATAACATATGGAAAGAAGCTTATTTTTAAAATATTCATATAAAATAAGGCATACAATCATGGCACAAAGGGTCAAATTTTAATACTTTTTTATTACAATAAAATTTTGAGAACATTGATATTGACAGGTATAAACATGGTATATTCAAAAGAAACCTTATTAATATTAGATGTATTCTAATAAAATATTACATTCAATATATAATTTTTAAATATTTATATGCATTTCAAACAATATAAATGCATTTTGTACTTAGTTAAGGCTTTGGTATGGAAAACATAGACATTTGATAAGTGGTCCAGGTTGTATTTGTATACAACCAAGGTAGTTTCAACAGCAAAGACCCTCACCATTTTCGTAGTATTACATACAAAAATAAAGCATCAAAAGAACCAAACAACTACAATAACAAAATTTAAAAAAAAAAAAAAAAAAACTTCCTCAAAACATTCAGTAAAAGTTGAATTGTGAGTGGCTTTTCTGTGCACTTATTCTCCTTATTTCACTAATATTCTGTCCAAGAATGCTTGGAACAGCTAGCACCTATCCAGAATTGTAAGCACATGTAACCCTACATATAAGAAAAAGGAGCAAAGAAACTGAATGTCCTTGTACCAGATGTGTGTTCTAACATGACTTTATAATTATTCCCTCAGTTTAAAAAAATTTAAAAATTAAAAAAACTATTATCCTGACACCCTTGATGTCAGGATAATAGAAGATTCAGTTGTGAATTTGACAACTTAGTTACCTTGTAAGATACTATATCCCAAGGCTCTGCAGCTTACCTCTGATTAAAAACCAGGCTTATTTCTGGTTCTGTCATTTCTCTTGCTTCCTCAATTGGAAGTTTTCTGCTACTGCTTGGCCAGCTGTGTAGCCAAAGTCTACAGATCTCTTATGTCTAGTTTCATCATTTAGTAGGACATTGGGAGTATCATCCATACATCAGTCACTCTGTTGTATACAATGTCTGTCACATGATATAGACAAATAAAATATTCTTCTGCAGACAAAAGAAGGGAGGACTGCTCAAAGGTCTGAATCTTGGGAATCAGTCAGGTTCTAGTGTCACTGAGTTTCAGCCAAATGCTCACATTTCACATCCAGGATGGATAAACAAGAGATTCCTTTACCTCACTCCTCTCTAAACAGGTGAGGTATCATTTGAATGGTACTCAATACTGCTTAAAACCTGTAAGGGAATAACTTTATTAAACTCTTTCCTAAAGAAACCCAAAAAAATAAAAACCCCAATGATGGAAATGCTCAATTTTTTTCTAAGCAATTTAATTCAGAGAGCTTTTCTTTGTGTTTCCCATACCTCTCCCACATGAGCTAATTTGTTTGTAAGTATGACTCCATTTCACACAATGGTTAAAGGAAACAAAGTCAAGCAAAGTCAAAGAAAGAGTTGATTTCATCTATAACATATAAAGTTCTGTACAGAACCACTTTTTGGCGTTAGATGTGGGCCACTATGGCTTAAAATTATGCTTTGACAATACCATAGAGTCATAGTCAATCTAGTTCTCTGCCACTGGAACTTAGATGCCTCCCGTCAAATTCAAGAATGTGTTTTTTTCAGGTATCTTGTTCTTCCTGGTACACTGGGTTAGCATGGCTGTAGTCCCCTGGACATGGTCATGAGTCATTAGAGCTGTCAAATGACCGCAATCTACATATTTTAGTGGCAAAATATTGATATAAACAAAAAGTTTTAAGTTACTTACTATTTAGGATATTTTTTATCTTTCAATTTTTGATTCTCTCTAAGACATAAACCTAAGGAAAATGAAATTATTGTGTTTAAACAACAAATTAATCAGTTTCTTTCTCTATGTTTCTATTAGATGTAATATCACTGCACTCATGCACACATGCACTTTTTTTTTTCTGAGATAGAAACTGGTGATCCACATTGTCTTATGCACATTTTTGATACTCCAGAACAATTGGTTTTCTTCAAAAGGAGAAATATCCTGATGGTCTTTTGGCCTTTTGTCTTCTTTTCAGAACAGTGTCCAACCCAGTGAGAAACAAAATACTCTCCTAGAATATGAAGAAAACAGAAATAACAGTAAAAACCACATTATGCAAGAAACGTTTTTGTAGATGAATTTCTGAAATGTAAGTTTCTATGAACTCGTGGGGATCCTATTCTTTCATTCAACTTGATGAAGAACCTCCCCCTCCTTCACCATGAAACCTAACAAAGCTGAGGCAGGGGGCAAAGATTGTATTAACTGCTTTTAAATGAAGGTGCACTGGCTGTCTACAGCTCTTTGCTACAATATCTTCTGAGCCTAGCACTGGAAGGAAGAAATACAAGGCTTGTTTCTCACTTTCCCACAATTCCTTTGTTTTTCAAGATGTTTCCAAAAGACATATACATGTGCTGTATCAAAGTGTCATTATAAAACAATATGTAGCTCATTTTGCTTTCTGAAAGAGATTCTGGCTACATGCGTATAAATCAGACCAAACAAATATTTTTCTCTTCTGTCATTACATGTTGAATATTCAACATCAATATTTTCAGCACAGAGCAAATCATCATGTTTATTTAGTGATGTCTGAATTCTTTCCAACATGACTTGCTGATTGATAGTTTCAAAGAAAGATTTCTTTTGAATGCATATGGGATTTATTCCTGAAACAGATGAAATTTCTTTTCCATTTGAATGTACCTGATGTCAGCAGTCAGAATTTCACAAGAAGAGATAATCCCAAAGACATCTTAAATGAGAGCACAGAGAGGTTTGAAAATGCAGTTCTAATACCTGAAAAATCTCCAAATGTGACTTCAAAATGAGAAGAAATGTGATTCCAGACTTTGTTGCTAAGGCAGACTGCCATGCATGGAACAAATTGTACTGCTTTGCCAAAACTGAGTTCATGCCTTCATAAAGTCATCTATAACAATATGCCTAATTATTGATTAATGAGCAATACAATACCACAACACCTAAAGTCAGGGAAAGGGGTGCAGGCTTCTCACCTAATAATAGTGGAGATTTCCATGCCATACCTCATGATATTCAGAGCAACAAGGGCTGCGAGGCAAGCTGATGCAGAGATTTTTGGGGAGAAAATTCTCAAGGAAATTGTTCAGTCGTGAAAAAAAGGAAATGTCTCAACATCCTTCCCAGAGGGGTCAGTCTTTTAAAAGGACCTCACAGGAATGAGAATAACAGTAAATATAACTTTGTTCTTATTTGTATCACTTCATACCTGAACATTCAGATTAGTCTATGAGCAGAATAGATGCTTTCAACTGAAAATTATTAAGGAGAAAAATTATTTAAAAACACATTTGGTGTAAATATCATCCTCTGCTTTATCCTATTAAAATATTAGAGACCTGAGAAAATTCTGCTTTTTTCTATTTATGTATATCTGACAGTTTTCAGCGATAAATGATAGAGACAATCCCTTTACTTTTCTTTTTCCAGGCAAAATTGGAGAATATTTTTAAGATGTTAGCAAACAGTTTTAAAACCTCAAAGTCCTTGGTCATATCTTACCTTTTTAAGTTGTCTTGTCACTAGAAGGGGTTCTTCTTTGTTACACTCTACTTAAAACTTTAGCACCTTTTCATGGGAAAGGAATGCAAAAACAGGTTAACAACAGCTTAGAACAGAAATGATTTATGGGTGAAGATAAAACTTTTAAATAAACTCCTGTCTCATCATCCAGGAGCCCTCTGGCACAGTCACTCTTGCACGACCTGAGTGGGACCAAGGCTCTTTCACAGCTGCACCTCCTGCTCTCACACCAGGTTTCCTCACCTGCTCGACCTCAGGTTTCCCAGTTTCCAAGACTGCAGTCTTGGACATCCAGATCCTTCAAATAACTTAATCATGGTGCAATAACCAGAAACAAAACTAAGCTTGAGCTGCTACTTCCAAGGAGGGACCGAGAACAAAGGAACTCTTGGCCTTTTATACCATCACAGTCTGAGTGACAGTCTGGGGGGCAAAGGGTCCTGCCATGTCTGTCCCCTGGCAGGGGACCTAAGTGCCCGTGCTCTTAGTTGTGCAAAGGGTTGGCAAGTCATGGCTTCTTGCCTCAGGCTCTCATCATCCAGAGCTCAACCTGCAACTTACATTGCAGCTTTCAAACTGAGCTACCTGCACTGGATCATCAATGAAACTAAATAAAAAGACAAACCCCTATTAGGTCTAAAAAATGGTGTCTCAGCAACAGCAGTTAAAAGCAAGCATTAGTTTTACCTGTTTACTGTGAAGCTGCACCTTTATAAGTAGGGACACTTGGTACGATGGGTGTTGCCTTGTAACATCCAGATGGGCACATACACTTAGGTTCACAACATGAGGTGTGAGCATAAATCAAAAATCTGCGTACTGCTCCAGGGCTAGGATCCTGAGATCACAAAGACATGGTGCCATGGATCCCTTGACTGGTTGCAATAGAGAGACAAAAGCTCCTTAGGAAGAACAGGCTGGAAAGACAAGGTGGAGTAGCTCTTTATATGAGACAGAATATTTGCAGCTCTGCTTGGGGATGGTGATGAGCCACCTAAAAACTGATGGATAAACATCAGAGTAGTGGCTGTCTGATACAGGCTGCCTGACCAGAAGGGTGAAATAGTCATATACACCCTACATAAAGGAGATAGGAGCATTCTCACATTTGCAGGCCCTTGTCCTCATAGGGATCTTTAACCAACCTGTTATTTGCCAAAGGGAAGACACAGGGTGTTTTGGGTTATGGACTGTTATGGGTTAATGACTCAAAACACTCCCCACTTGTGGAGGTCCCAGGATGCTTTGTGGAAGATAGGGTTGGAGATGGGGGAGGGGAGCTTTTGGGTGTGTAATGATCTGGTAAAACACAGGGTGAATGATGTGCTATGAGTGACTTAAGAGACAAATCCTATGGGGATAGGGTGGTGCCTCTTGTGAGGCTAAACTCTCCTCCTTTCATAAACCTCGGGGTTGTAAAACTCCCATCCTCCAGGGAGGGTCTGATGGGGCATTCCTGGCCCTGCTGTGCTGACACAGGAAGAGAAAACTGTCATGTCTCAGATGGTGTCATAAACTATCAAAGACCCCTGAAGTGCCTCCAGACTCAGATATGAGTGCTTTCACCAGAGAAATGAAAGGTCCCCCACAGTGGAGGTACTCAGGCACTCCCACCTGATCCGGGTGTATCATAAACTGGGTTCACGTCCAAACCCATTTCTTCTAAGATGCTCATGAAGAAGCTAACGAAGTCTAGTCTGAATGCCAGACAGTGAGCTCGATTGAAAACTGGCTGAATGGCCAGGCTCAGAGGGTAGTGCTAAGTGTCCTGAAGTCTTACTGGAGGCCAATAACTTGGAGTTTACCTCAGAGGTCAATTCTGAGTCAAATTCTAGTTCGTATTTTCATTAACAGTCTGAACAATGGGGAGCATTGTACCCTCAGCAAGTTTGCCAATGACGCAAAACTGGGAGGATTGGTTGAGACCTTAGAGGGTCATTCTGCCATCCAGTAGGACTTTCCAGGCTGGAAAAATGGGCTGAGAGGAGCCTTTGGACTTCAACAAGGGGAAAATGTAAAGTCCTGCACAAACAATTTCATCAAGTTTCCCTGGATCTGAACCATCAAAGAGTTCTGTTCACTCTGCTTCTGAAGTCTAAAATTTCTTTGAGTCAAATACAAATATTATACATGTGAAAAAACTTGTATTAAATTATGTATTTGAACGAATGTTAAGTTTTAATGATACAAATACAAAGTGCAAAATTATGTGTGGTAAAAAAGTGCTATGTCAGTATGCTGACATGATCAGGTTTTATAGGACAGTAATAAGCAGTTCTTTCAAGTCTTCAAAGTCTTAAAATTTTCTTCTACTTAAAAGGGTTATATGATACTGACAGAGAGATGGCTTTTTAAAATAACAAAAGGCAAAATACTCCATATGAAAAACAACTGTGCCTGAAACTTTAGTAGAATGCAGGTTTTAATATTAGGAGTAAATGAAGTGATAATGCAAGCTGAGAATGCTAGGATTACTGAAATTATTTATAAGCTGCACCAAAATCCATTCTGTTTGGCATGGTCATTAAGAAATCACACATCTTGGAAAGTGAAAGACATTATTCTGCACACCAGTTTGTGAGCATGGAACATATCATAGGAATGATCATGATGATATAAAAAATGCTGGTAGCCCTCTCTCCTGACTCTGAAATGGCTAATAGCAGACATTTGGTGGAGGAGATTTATCAAGGATAAGTTTGTTTCTGTAAAATACTCAGGATTTATGTAAGCCAGCTTCTACTGGAACATCTCATGGTTTTTGAATCCTTATGATACATTATCTACAACAGTCTGTACTTCTGATTTCTACAGTTCATTTAAGAATTATAAGAAATGTACCTTTCATTTGTCCTGGGCTGGTGCCTGATGGATGATTTTGTCCAATGCCCTTAGTGTGCTCAGCAAGAAGCACTGAGTAATCATGTTCAGCTCCCACCTGGCTAAAGATCAGAGACATTCCATCCCAGAGTAATCACCGAGCAATGCGGGGACAAATGAAATGCCTGTCCCTTACTTATTTTGCTGAGAAACTTACAAAAATCTTGAAGGCCATCAGCTTATAAGTTAGAAAACAAACAACCATCATGTCCTGCAGATTAACTTGATTGACCTTGGTATTAATTGCTTGTGAAGGAAAGCTAAGGGCAGAGATATCTATGCTTATCTCTGTGCATTTGTTTTAAGTGCCATTTCTTTACAGCATCAATTAACATATGGTGTGGAGACTACTAAAAGGCAACAGCTATTTGTGGGTGTACATATGCTTGTGACCAGCTCTCTCTGTTGAAAAAGAATGAGTTAAAATAAAATATTTGCAGAAAGACAGTGATACTACCAGATGTTTTGTAAAGATCAAAAATTATCTAGAAATAGAACTCTAGGGCAGATGGTAAAATGTACAGGAGTTTTAAAGAATTCTGTGTGAAAAATAATTTCTGTAGTGTGTACCTCAAACTGCCAAAGACTCATAGAAATTAGTTCATTATCTAACTGGCTCTGGATCCTCATCTATATGTTTCTCTCAAGTGCTTTCTTGGGGTAAAAAACCCCCACAATATTTTTACATAAATCAAGTCATCCCCTTATCATAATCCTGACACAATTACATCTTATGTATTGTGCAACAAACAGCAGAGTCTGCTACTTTTTTAAAGAATAAAAATGCCTTGTTATTCAGAATATGAGCAGCAATGTGAAAGGAATTGAAAGTAGGTAAAGGATTTAAAAGATGAGTAAAGCAATAAAGTTTGGAACATTAAATGTTTTTGAACTGTAAGAAATTAAATTATTCTGTCCTTTGCTGCCCTCTCCTTTTCATTAACTAATTTTTCCTCAACTCAAAACCTGCTTCTTACTTCAAAACCTACTGCTAACTTTCTTCTAACACAGGTTTCACCTACTTCAACAGTGATATCTCCCTCTTCTTTGCCCCTTTGCTTTCTAATTCAATTCCCCTCTTTCAACTTGTGCTGCCTGACTCTGAATGCTTGGAGACACTGCTGGGACAGATTTGTACATTGTTGTGTATGAATAGATTCCACTTTTACTGTGTCCATTAATTGTTACTGCACTTTACCATAATTCTCATTTGTAGTCCTTTTCCATCAATTCTCATAATGCAATCCCTCTTGAATTTAAGGCACAATTACCTTACTTTTCAGCAATTGCTACTTTTGCATTGTGAAAGTATGTTGCAGAATGGCAATGGCAATGGAGACAGTATGGGTATAATTTCAGAGAAATAATAGGAATATCATGACATAGTGTAAGGAACAATTCCTTGCTCGCAGTATCCACATTCAAATATCTTACCACCAGATAATATAATGGAATTCTAAAGACAGGTGATTTCATGGTTTTTGTATCAACTATGACTAATTTGTAGCCAAAGATTTGGGCATTTAACAGCAACATGTTAAAGTCATGCTGTTATCTCTTCTGCCAGTTTATATCACCAAGGAGATGCAATATGAAAAATGCCTTTACTTTCTCTAAGCTGAGCAAATTTGAGGAACAGTGTTAATTGTAAAAACTGGAGAAGAACTTCAGTAACACTTCATTAATTTAATGAAGAACAGAATGTAACCTAGGAATAGTTTATCTGTTAATATACTCCTTTTGACTTGTTACTACCAGAGCAGTTCACTAAAAGCATTACAGGGATTTGAAATGCCAGAACAAGCCTGTGGAACTTTTGGACAATTTCTGCTCAAAAATTTTTAATGAAAAAATGTATCTGTTAAAATTTCAATTTTACCATGACATTCAAATTTGTTTTAGGTAATTTTAAATATAATATTTCTTCTTGGGGCAAGTAGATCTGATTCTTGACATTTTCATTTGCAAAATAAAATCAAAAACTGTTTCAATATTTGTTTGCCCCTGTGTTAGTCCCTAAGGAAGCATGTAACAGCATTTGTTAAGATGGCTCATAGAGCTTTTCTACAGAGAGGAATCACTGATTTAATTATATCTCCTGTAAAATAATTCAGTTTCCCATCTGAATGCATGACTAAAGCTCCTAGGGCAGATTATACTATGATTTAGCTTACCCTACATTTGGACTTCACAGTGCATATGGAATTATAATAAATCCCTGTGGTATTCAGGTTTGTATCAAACTGAGAAAAAAAGCAAGCATCCAACAGTAGCTCGATGAATTAAAAGAAAACACTGTAACAGCAATAGTCACATCCATAAATCCTCCCTCCTAGCCCACCATCCCCAAGCAGATCTGTGATGGAATGGTGACTGTAACTAAGACTGAGCTGCTGGAGAGCTGGATATCCCAGACAAACAGTGATCTGCCCTGTGCACCCCAGAGTGTGTGCACACAGCATCCTTCTGCCCAGGTAGCCCAGAGAGTTGTCCCACAGTTATTTAATTGCAGTATGTTAGCAGGAATGATTGCAAAAACTAAAATTAGGATGTTGCTTAAAGACAAGCTTTTTAAGCTTCCAGTGCAGGGATAATTTGGTGCTTTGCCACCTCATTCTAATTCAGGATGAAAATAAGAGTTGGAATAATTAATTTCCTTTGGGAAAAAAAAAAAAAAACAAAAACACCTCTGCCCCCTATTACCTGTATTATACTTACTTTATTTAAGGGTCATGAAAAAAAAATCATAGATCAAATGTCCTTAATTATGAAAAATCCCCCAAAGCTTCTGTTTCTAGGAAAGTAGAATTTTTGTATTTCTTGCAGAACTGAGTAAGCAGTTATGCAGTAGGACAGAAAGGGATGACATTTGGATACAGTGAAAATAAGATAGAAAGGAGAGATGAAGGAAAATTGTCCAGCTGATCTATTTAAAACTGACCAGGAATTTAAAGCAGATTTATAACATCATTAAAAGTAAAATTGACAGGCTGCAGTGAGTATTACACATTGGCTTCCCCTCTGCCACATATTTTTCCCCTATCTGTGAGAGCTCTTTTAGAGCCAGGATCGGGTTATCCTGGTGAAGCAGCTCCAAGAACATCACTTCTGATGATCCTCCTTGGGCACCTGGCAAGCCTCACATGCAGTCTAAAGGTGTGAATGAACCCTGGGGTAAGCTGGCTTACCCAGGTAAGCTTCACCACCAGCAGACTCAGATACCACCACGAAGATGTCAGGATCACCTTAGTTTAGTAATGGGGGGACCCACATAATACAGAAAACTTTCTGTGTTTGCTTTTTTTTTTCCCCCCTTTTTATTTCTGCAGATTACAGAATCACAGAATATTCTGGGTTGGAAGTGACCCCCAAGGATCATCAAGTCCAACTCTTAAAGGTATCTAACTCAGAACTTTGGTGTTATTACCACTACACTCTAACCAACTGAGCTAACCTCAGGGTAAGATAAGGTCATATGAAATATTTATAACTAAGATTTAATGGCATCTGGCTTTTAAAAATCTTGGATTAACATTTTACCATGTGGTTCTTTACTTGTTCTGTATTGTACAGAATTTTCTAACTCTTGTATAAAAATATTTTGGCAACATCTTGAGAAAACAATAAACAGAACGATCTGAAATATGTGTTCAATCAAAAAGGAAGCAAAGCACCACAAATCACACAAATATAGAAAACAATAGCTAGAGTAAAAGAAGGACTATTAAAATAAAAAACATTATTATATTGTGTAAAATCATGTCAAGAAACATCTCTGAAAAAGGAGATTAATTTAATTATGTCTAAATGGCAAAATCTGAAAAATTGCCAGAAGAGTATTTAAGAGTTAGATGGAGAAAAGTTTAGTAGAGAAAATATAGTTATGAGGCCCAGAGTATATTTGTGCAAGTTTATGCTGACAAAAATAAAAGTACCTATCATAACAGTCCAGTAAATAACCTAGTTAGAACTTTCTTACTCTTCACTCAGGCTCAGCAAGTACCTTTCCTGACATAGGGGAGAGAAATCTGAAAATGGTAAACATGTGAAGTAAACATAACTTGCAATCTGCTTCCCAGAGCCAGCAGGAAGAGGCAGAAAGGATAATAACTTCTACAAGTTTTGCTAGTCTGTTTTGTTTTTTTTCCAATGTCAGTGCTTAGAACATGTTGAGTCATCATCATCTGTGGAGATTTCACTGAATTTGATTGGATATTTTTATACATTTTGAATGCCATCCCAAGGCCAGATTTGCAATCTTCATTCAATTAACTGTCACGTTCAGTCCAGGTCCTGTTCCTGTGCACAATATGTGTCTTTATTTTGCCTGGTGCCTTAATCTGCAAGGTGCCACAGATGCACTCATGTGCTCATTTGGCAGCTGCATCATGAAGTCTTTTCTGACCAGCTATGTTCAATGTTTGTATCAACTGAAAACCAGAAATAAATAGTGATTACAAAAGACAAATAATACTCATTTTATTGCCCAGTGAAGGCAAAGTTGGGACAATAGCAGAGCAGCTGTTTGGCATACTTTCTGGGATTTAAAATCCCTAACAGAAACCTAAGCGCTTGTGTGTCCATTTGTGAGAATCAGCTTGGATGTTTGCGCCAGAGCTTTGTAGCTGCCAGCATTTCTATGCTCTTTATGCTGGGAAAAGTGTCAGCTTGCCTATAAATGCTAGATAAGCAAAGGCTGTGAGCACATTTAGAGGAATGACCAGGGAAAAAGCATTTTCATTTATTCACTGTTAGCACTGAAAAGCAACAAGGAGTGAAATATAACCACTGTCACAAGCATGAGAAGGATGGCACCCTGGGAAAGGCATTAGGCAACCAGCAAAAAACTCATTTCCAGTCTGATGCCTCTTACATTATAAGATACTTTTCTGAGAAAACCCACCAAAAAAATTAGACGTCTTTCTTTGGTATCTGTAATTAGCTCTTAAGAGAAATATTTCTCCTTCTATCCAATTAATGGACATACTAAAAAATAATACATAAAATAGATTATAATATATATAAAATATATGTTAGCTATATGCTTTGACAACTCCTTTTAGAAGAGGTTAAATCTAATTGCAGATGGGTGAAGCTAATGTTAAGATAATTGTGAATATTCCATAATTAAAGTGGCTTATTTTTAGAATGAAGTCCCTGATATGACCCCTACAGTTCTGTTTTCATTATGGCATGCAAAAGAAATAAGAATTTGTCTACCTTACAGTGAATCCTTCTCTGTAACTGCATTTTGATTCCTTCTCATCTGATAGTATTGGTGAGTATATTGACAACTGTCGCTTCTCTTCCAACTTATTTCAGTCTGTGCCTGGCCTATATGTATTATTCTCTCACAATTCCACTTGTGGAGAGGTACCATGACTTTAGACTGGTAGAAAAAGCTTTGAATTTCTTATTTGAATTGAAACTATATAGTACCATAGTACATAGTTGAATATTAAAGCGAATTATATATATATTTGTGTCAGCAGAAAAAAAAAAAAAACAGAGAGAAAGAAATTATACCAAGACTTCAGTTCAAATAGATCCACAGAATATAGAGGACACATTATTGCAAAAGTAATGGATTTTGCCACAAATTTAGAAGAAGCAAATATAAGTTTTCAATGTAAAAATATGCATATTCTTGTGTGGTAAAAGAGGTACTTGTGAGTGGAAGGTTTAAAGTGCATTTCTCACAAGAATACCAAAATACTTGGTGGTATGGGATACCACCTAAAAGTAATGGCTAATCACTTTCTGACTGTTTGAGGGTGTTTTATTCTCTTTTGATAGGAAGTGCAAACTGTCATCATTGGCTGAATGACAAGTGGACTAAGTGATTGCAGCAGCAATTAAGTAGTATTTTTCATATTTTTTAAGCGATGAATAGCTCTAAATTCTAAACTTAAGTCAGCAAGACAGCCTAAATTGTGTAATGAATTAATTATGAACTGCGTAATATCCATCAAAGAGAAATGTCTGACCTATTGGAAGGAAAAGCCTTGAGCATACTTTGAGTCTCTCTTTCTCACTTTATCTGTTTACTTCCCTTTCTCTCTCTTCTGCTGACACAGAACTTTCATTCCTTGCTAGTAAATTAACCTATTTGCCCCCTGCCTGGGCTCCTACCTCGCTAAAGACTTGGGAAGACATTTTTGATAGCACAGTTCAGTTGACTTGATTGTCTGTATTCTAGTGTACACCTCATCTGCATGTTTATGCTGCTTGTTCTTCAAGGTACCAGTACTCCATGTCTGGCCAGGCAAACCTGGAGTTTCTTCTTATTTCCTAGTCATAGCAATAATCAACATTATTAATAATAACAGGTATTCTATGTATTTAAGCAGAATTGATTACTATTTCTTCACTTCTCACTAAACTTTTGTTACTCATATATGAAAACTTTTTTTTTTTCTGGTAGAATTAACTTGAATGAGTTTGCCATTGATACTAATTAGGAGAAGCTGTGAACACCCTTGAGAGCAGAGGCGCCTTAAAGAGAGATCTGGATATCATCAACAGTATGAAATTTAGCACGAACAGGCACCATGGGACAGGATAATCCAGATTATAGATATGGGGAATAAAAGGCTGGAGAGCAGTCCTGCAGAAACTGATCAATGGGTCTGGGTTGGTGGTAAATTTAATATCAGTCAGCAGTGCCCTGGCAGCCAGGACAGACAACCATGTCCTGGGGTGCATCACCAGCCAGGCAAAGGAGGAGATTGCTCTCCTCTGCTCTGCACTGATGTGGCAGCACCTCAATTACTGTGTGCAGTTTTGGGTATCTCAATATAAGAAGAAAATCAAATTATTTGAGTGTGTCCAGAAGAGGGCAACCAAGACGGTGAAAGGTCTCAAAGGCAAGAATTTCAAGGGGTGGCTGAGGTGAAAGGGGCTTTGCTCATCTTGGAGAAGGGAAGGCTGAGGGGTGACCTCATCAGAGTCTACAACGTCCTCAAGGTGGGCAGCACAGAGGTGGAGCTGGTGTTGATCTCCTCTCTCTGGAGACCAATGGTAGGACACAAGGAAATAGAATTGTGTCAATAGAAATTCAGAATAAATGTTAGAAAAACGTTCCTCACTGAGAGAATGGTTAGTCACTGGCTCCCCTCCCCAAGCAAGGGGTCGTGGCACAAATCCTGTAAGAGTCCAAGGAGCATCTGGAGGAAGCTGTTAGTCATATGGTCCCTTCCAACAAGAGATCTTCTGTGATTCTATGATGCTATGAATTAAGGAATAGTAACTTATAAAAAGGCAGGCCAAATTAAGAAATTAGGAGGCAGACATAATTTTCTTATAGAATTTGCTTATTAGACTGAAGAATTTATTTTGATTTGAGGCCAAAGTCCTTCACACAACATATATTTTGACAATTTGTGTTTTGATTTGCCACAGGATTTAAATTATTTTGATATTATTAACTGATTCATCCTGTGATTGACTCTGTTTTCAAAATATAAAAAGAAATGAATGAAGAATTCTTATATATGAGCCATTTTCTCAGCTATTAACTGCTTTGCTTCACTACATGTTTTTAGAAACATTATAAACATTTTCAGAACCTAGATGTCTTTTTAAAGTAATATTATTTATGTATTACAATATATAGGAGCATGCTTAATATCTCCCTCAACAAAAAATATACCAACCACTTATCTCTTTTGTCAGTTTCAGGCAACTGTTCCACCCAAAGATAGAAGCTGTGTCCAGCATGTGGTTTAGAGGTTGGCCCTATCCTGTGTCCTCTTGCAGCACCTTTAGAGGTCATTCAGCCACTGTTGTCAGTCTTTCAGTCCATCATTCCCACAGTATCTTCCTCTTTTAATTTCCAGCACTCCCAAGGCCTTTGTCTTCTCTCTACTCTCTGCCTTGAATGGAAACAAGGCAGATTCCCTGAAGGCTGTATTGGACATTAAGGAAACACAATATGAACAAAGTATTAGGGATTCAGGAGCTCTGGCACAAGTGCTAAGTAGCTTAGGGCTTAAGAGCTCTCAAAGCCTAGTTCTCTCTCTCTTAGAGGCCTATGACCTGTTACCATGTCTGAAGGACAAGCATGATGCATTCTTTGATGTGCCATTTTAAAGTGAAATGCAGTCATGCAATCTTTCTCATGATAGAAAAATTTAGACTTCCTGCATGGTTGGAAAATACAGTGTGCTCTAGAGAGGTGACTGCTATAGATTGGGATCCTAGACTATATGGTTAATGTGAATAGTAATGTGAATAGTTAATGTGAATTAATGACCACAGAACCCATTCTGTTGACTGTCACTAAGGTCATTGTTACTTTAACTAAGGTTGCGCTAGATAACATGAAAATCCAACATAAGAACCCACTAATAGATGAGATACTACTAAACATCTTACACATCTTAGTCCTATATATATAATATTAGTGTATATATATTAGATAGATATGTATTTCTTTAAAAGTCCAGATGACAAAGCAGAAATTAAGAAATATATAAGAAACAAAATTAATATCATCAAAATTAATATAATTTTGCTTTCTGTGACAAATTTGAATAAAGGAGGCAAAACAAAAGGAGGAAGAAAGAAAAAGCATACACAAGCAAGAGTAGGTGAAGAAAAATTACAAAGATTCAAATTATTGTTATTAGTAGTGTCATTAACAGCCCACTCCAGCCATGGAATTTTAATATGTTTCCTTATTCCACTACAAGTAATTACATCCACCCAGAAAAACTGGTTTTATTTTCTAAATAGTGTAACCAAAAATTGTCATCTATTGTTTTCTTTCTGCAAAGATGTATAGGCAATCTGAAAAACAACTTACACTTTACAAATTGTATTACCTCAGATTCAGAGAATGTCAACGGACATTATTAAAGGACAGGCTATAACACTTGGCAAAAATTTAGCATTTATTTTGATGGGTAATTTCTTTCTATTCAGTGGTCAGCTTTACAGGCCTGCTCAGAGTTTCCACAAGAATAACAAAATTAAAAGAACATAAAAGCAAATATACCAATGAGGAATTATTTAGATCCAAAAAGTTACATCTCTTAATTTTTCAAAGATTTATGACCTAAGAAAGGCTTTGTAAAATCTTTGTGGGTGGGTTTTTTTTCATGTCATAATAAAAGCAGGGATAGAACTGAGGCCTTTGAATGTACTTTGAGCTTTGAGCATTTAGGAAAATAAACACCTTTACTAGCATGTGCATTAGTTATCCCATTCAATAGCTACAGACATTTTTCTTTAAAAAAACACAAACCCTGTAGCACTTGCAAAGACAATAATCAAGAGCAGAGGTGACATTTTGCACTCTGTTCTCTCGCTGAGTTGTTATATGACCTCTGGAGAGGAACATATTTAACTTTCCTGAACCTCTGCTTACTTTTCTTACTTACTGAAAAATATTATGATTTTAGTTATATTAAAATCTCTGCAACAACTGGACTTAGTACTATGAAATTAGTTTAATTTATTTATTCTCCTGCTTGAAGATAAACATGCACTAAAAGCATATGAAAATTGGGGCATATGGAAGTTGCAGAGTCGTGCCTTAAAGAAATGTGAATATTCCATAGAAAAGTTGTACAAATAGATGTTAAAAAATAATAACTCTGAAGTATACAAATTTGTCATCCATCAAAAATTTATGTTTCAGAAGGAACAGCTCTCAGCAGATTCAGCTCAGTTTTGGGAGGTAAAGCACCTTAAACATTTAGGCACAACTAAACTTTCATATGGCCATGAATAACTCTCAGCATCCCTGGAAATAATGACCTCAATATATATCACTGAATGTTTTACAACATAAAACATTCACATATCTGCCTCTGCACACCTAGATCACTTAATTTCAACCTATCATTGTCATCATTTTAATGTTCTGAAATCAAGGGAGTGTACATATCTCCAAGCAGAGGAAAAAAAAAAGCCTGGATCATTCAACACTCCTACTCAGGCCTTGACAATTTTTAACAATTGCACTTTAATCACATTTTACAAAGCAGATTGACTATTCAAAAGTTTCTGAAAGTCACTAACATTTTTTTCTACTTGCTGTGCCAAAATAACCATGACAAATTTCAAAACTTTGATGTTTCAATTTAAGGTTTTTTCCTGAATTGGGCTATAAATGGCAGACTTTTAAAAAATATTTTTTTGCACTCATCGCAAGACTTAACTTCTAGTGCTTCTGAGATTTTCAAGTGCTTGCTGTCTCAGAAAAAAAAAGTTAACACTTTCTAAATATTTTTCACATATGAATATCCATCATAAGCTCAATACATGCCGTTGTTTTCAAAGATGTGGAAACATAGAAACCTAGTAACTTGAAGGGTACCATAATTATTACTAATAATTTTTTTTGTTCTGATTCTGTAAGGTTCCTTTCATGATTTTTAAATGAATCTAACAATATGTAGATGGCTCAAGTAAGCAGTTCATTATACAGCAAAAATTATTCTCCTTCAAAATAATCAGCTTGGTGATTTTCTTTTTTCTTTTTTTTCTTTCTTTCTTTCTTGACCTTGATTTTGAAATACTTTGTCATTTTGGAAAAGGAGGACAGAAATAAAAAATGAAGTCTTTATTTAGTTGGAGGGACTAGACTTAGAATTAGGGTAGTTTACTGACATGTTTTGTTAATTTAACTAACTTAGCTAACCTTATTACTGATTTAACATATTTTGTAAATCAGAACCCTATTTTATTTGGCAAGGAGAGCACATAGTTAAAATACATTTCCAAAGCAGGGAGTTTAACTACATTTTAATGGGATTATTCACTGCTACTTGCCAATATGAGTAAGATTTTCACAAACTCATCCAATGCAAATAGAACATGGCTGGGAACTAGATGGAAAAATGTGTTCACAGATAATCTCATCAACCATATGCACATTAATGGAAATAACATGGGGTTTAGGGGGATTTTTGGGGTTTTTTTAGTATGCAATGATTCACTAGATAGCAAAAGCCACTAGGTGGCATTTGTGATTTATTAGGCTGGAAGAGCTGGTTTAAATATTACATCTAATCCTTGGTTGCAAGAGAACAAGACATTTAACATTCCAAAGCATTTAATTCAAGGCCCTCCCTCCATAATTAGATAAATGCATAGAATTTGCATTTCTGCTACATCATTTGGAAAACAACTTTTTGAAGTTTCCATTCAAGCCCTAGATGTTCTCAGGCATGTATTCCCTGACCCCACAGCACCAGCTTACGTAAGTAATTACTTGTCTACAATTAAGCTGTAAATAATGCAATCACTCCATTCTTGTCCTGTCACTCTAGTCCCAACCACAACAAATAGGACTAATCACATACTTACTCGAGTGTGTAATTATTTACAGTTAAACTTCTGTCACTTTCACCCTGTTTGGAAACAGTAGAACACAACCTGTAATTAGCAAATGTTGCTGCAGGCACTTTTACTTGGAAATAAGCCATGGATTCAGCACCTATGTGAGCAAAGAGGTAAACCCTTTGATCCAGGATTCTGGCATGGATTCTTCCCCTTGAGGTATTCTATTATCAGCCCCCAATAAAGCAGAGAGATCAATGAATTATTATTATTATGTCAAATAAGTCTCTAGAAAATCCCTTGACTCCTCTTTGTCAGAGAAGATGCTCTTACATCGTGGTTATATGCATGAATATATATGTATAAGTACAGACCAATGTTATAACAATGTATATATATTAATGTGTATCTGAAGATATAAGAATTAATCAGATATACACCTGATTTTGATTTTCTTTGAAATGACAGTAAAAATCTTGGCATTCACAAATTAAATTGATGGATATAGGACTTGATTTGTCACTTTTTTATATGGCTAATGTTCACTTCTTTCCTTGGTTAGAACCTGACACTGTGATAAAAGAAATCATTCTTTCTTGAAGAATTATATTCAGCAAAACACAATTGTATTAACAGGTGCAGAAACAACTGTATGCAAACCTGTCACTGAAAAACTAGCCATAAAGCAAATGCCTTTATGTCATGCCCTGGTCTGTAGTCCTGAAACCTTCCAACTCAGGGATCATTGTCTCATAATGTACTGAGCACATCACACACGTTACATTAAACTGTATGTGCCCTCATTCCATACGAATGCAAGTTCTGCCACACGTACCCAGCCTGAGCTGCTCCTTACTCTATCCCAAGGGCTGGCAAAGAACTACTCAGCCTAAACAAGGAGGCAGAATTCATCCCATGGAGAAGATTGGAAAATTAGAAAGAACTCATTTGCCACCTGCCCTCAGCAGTAATTCCAAAAGCAGATGGAATATGAGATTAAAAACAGGAGCTTATTTTTGCTTACTGGCACATACACAGACTATTTAGAAGAAAGACTGGGTAAGAACAGGCACAGAAAATAATTGCCCTAACACTTGTTATCAGTTTATCAAAGACAGTGGACAGTTCATTTCTTCCTTCCCTTCTTCCCTCTTTCATCCTCAATAAGCCTGTGGCTTATTTTGTTCTCACAGATGAAAGTTGTTTTATACCCAGAAATCAGGGTGAGTTGACAAAACATAACATAGATTTTAAATAAGCATTTTGTGGGAATATACTGGATTTAAAATTCTTCATTGAATTATTCAATAGAGACATTGGTCACTGTCAGAGGTGGGATAACTCCCTGTATGAGACCCTCCTTGTTTTGAATCAAACAGGTGTTTTTACTGGTATAAAACAGATTTTTTTACTGATGTAGGTCAGTGCAGGGAGGTGAGGGGTTTAGCTTAGAATCTTTCAGTAGACACTGGATGAAAGGAACAAAGGGATTCAGAATACAAGCTATTCTGAATCCCTTTTGAGATATGAATATTCAGAGTTATATAATATAAAACTGGTAATAGTGAAAATTAGTTATTCAATGTGCCTACCAGTCAGTCTGTAGAAAGGAAAAGCCTGAGGATTTCCTTCATAGTCCTTAACAATATCTGGCAAGCAGGTTTGGATAAAGTGCCCAGGTATCCAATTACCATGGAAACAGTCATACTGGATGGAGTCTGTGGCACTTAGCTAGTTAGTAGTCAGTTGCTGTTGAATTACAGCGATATGAAATTGCTGTAGTCTCAAGATACTTTTTGAAATGGCAGTAGCTGCCTCCCAGTATAATGACTTACTTGAACAGCCTATATCAGCCAGAATAAAATACTCAGTATAATGTTTCCAGCTTGACAGATATTCTGTTAGGGAGCTATTGTTTGATGTCAATATGATGCAGGGAGAATGCAGACATGCTGGCCTTTGTTTACTTTTTTAGCTGCCTGCTAAGACCATGACCTTTTGCTGCAGATGGTATACATACATTGAATATTTGTTTAAACTGTCTTCCCACCTCTGACAAACATAACCCTCCAATTATGCAAATGAGCTGCAAGGGACATAAAATAGAATTTTATATTGTTCTGCCGAGAAATGCTTCCCACATCTTTGTATTTAAGACACTTTAAAAAATATGTAATCCTTGGAGGAAAACGAGCCATTCATGTAGTTATTGCATATAATTCTTCCACACCAGAAAGTCTGTCAAACTGTCTTTGCAAGCTGCCACTTGAGAAGCTGCCCTTCAGAGTCTTAATTTCCCTTTCCTTCCCCTCACATCTGACTAAGAGCATTTACAAGACTCTGGTAAATGCATCTGAAATCAGTCCTTGTCAGATCATTAAAGATTTGTAAACTGCATGAGAGAGTAAACTACAAGATGTGCTGATAAGGAGTTGGGTATATCAGTAATGAACATTACCAGTTTCTTGTTATCATTTGAGGGTAGAATATGCCTCAATGATTTACCTGCACACTAAGCTTTTTTCCCAGGTAAACCAGCTGCTGATCCTATTCTCTTTCCACAGTGTATTAAACACATCCTTGCGTTCACCAGCAAGAACAGGAAAATAAAGTACATTGGGATTTTTTCTTTACAATCCAGAATTCTGAATATTAAAAAAAAAAAAGGTCAATCTGTAGTAAGTCATCAGCACTGCAAAATACATGCAATAAAATGCATTGTATTAAATATCTTTTGTCTCTCCTAAGATATGTGTTTCATAGAGAAGGTCAAGCTTTCTCTTTACAGTTCATTAAAAACATTTGCTCCATTTTTGTTCATGTTCTTTTTCTAAAATGTAAGATTTTGAGCTCTTAAGTTAGAAGTGATATTTAATTTTATTACAAATCCATATGATTTTTTTTTGCCTAAATGTATGTAAAACTGAACTAATGACATCTTTAAGTTTGAAATCCATCACACTGAAAACCAAGAAATTGATATATGCAATATGCTGAAGGTTTCAACAAAGTAAATGTTACACTTCCAAATCTGCAGAGATTTGGAGTGACTTGTTAGAAGCTGTCATGAATTACAAAACTACTTTTTAAATCCAGAAGGTTGTCACAATATTTGAGTTTTTTAAACTTTCCTATGTTAAAAACTACAGAAACACAGATGCAATATGTGCCTCAAGATAAGTCTTAATCTGACAGCTGTTTTCTTAGCCCTGAATTTATTGAAAGAATGTACAGGATCCAGAATATGGATGGTATGGATGGTCCTCCATAGCTGAAGGTAAAAAACATAAATTGGATACAGTTTCAGTATTAAGAAAATAAATATTAAAATGTGATGAGGATGAAAATTTGGAAATCCCTAACATGGTTGCAGTTATTGAATAATATTTCAAGGTGAAGTTAAAAAACTAACACACATGAAAGCTACCTTTTTGTCAATAGAGGGAAGAAAATATTCTACGTAATATCTGTTTCTTATCCTTTCCAGGCAAGATTAGGAATTTGGTCGTTAGTCACATGTAACTAGGTGAGGAAAATCCAGCCAATTTATATTTTTTCCAATGTAAGAAATTCCATATCAAACCCCATTTTTATTCTTTTTCATTAGTTTTAGGGACCAGATTCCCTAATAATTTATTCACATTACAGATGTGGGTCTACTTCTGCACAATCAAGTTGACCTCCTAGATAAATCCAAAATGAAGAACTCAGCATTTGGTAAAAACTGGATGCTTGGCTTTTGGCATAAACTTTCTGGAGCTGTAATTTGAAACTTTAAGGAGCTTGTTAATCTGTGGCTGTCATTGACCCCCAGGTAATACTAAACATCCACATGGGGATGTGTTTTAAAAATGTTTGAGCCTCATAACTTTACAGGTCCAGCTAACAGTTTGAAAAGAAGTGCTAGTCACCTCAGGGAGGGCTACTATAAAAATAAGGTGTTTTTGCTTGAAAGTAAACGACTACAGAATCTCAGATGTTGGTCAGCCTTAGGTGGTCTCACAAAGTCTGTGTGGGGAAAAAAATGCAGGCAAAGGAAAGAAGGCAGCAATTCCATAAAATTGGATAGTTGGAAAAATATTCTTTGAAGAACTCTGTCACGGAAGGCTATAAAATACTGAGATTTTCTTACATAACTTACATGTTGCAGCATGATTGTGGAAAAAGGGCAAATCCTTATTTAAAGCAAAAATAGCTGATACAATAGGTTTTATTAAAGATATTTCTCTGAAGTTCTTATTGATTGGCACTGCTGAAATAATATAACAGCAAGTGTCAAAATATAAAATAACTTCGTGTTGTTTTTCATTTTCATCTGCATTCAGAATTATTCATTTCCTGTACCATATGTTCATAAAGTAAATATGACACTTATCAAAGGTAAACAAATAAACATTAATGGATATATGTTATTTATTGTACAATTTATGTCTGGCATGGAAACTTTCACTTCCTTTCTCTCTGCTATTCACTTGTACAATTGTTCATTTAAAGAATTTCTACTGAAAATGCAGAAGAAAATAAATCTCGATCCACATTCATGCTAAATGAATTGATTTTGTTTAATGTTACTGAAATGAATACAAAATGAATTAACCATCATTAGAAAGATATGGGAATGCTTTACCCTTTAAGCTTTAGTATACTGCTTGGTTGTATGACATTAGATATGAATCCGTAGTTAAACCTCTAGATGCAAGATTTTGGGAAGTATTGGGAGGTGTCTACATCTGTAACTAGACTGGGGAATTTTGCTCTCATCTCTCTTTGAAAGTGATACTTATTATGCATGCTCTTTTGAGTTTTTAATGTTTTTAATTGGTATGTTTCCTCTTAGCTTTTAGCCATTCTCTTGTGTCAAAGGCCAGGAAGGATTGTGTCTGCATAAGTTTGTTCGGACACATGCACTCTGGTGCAAATTAAGGAATGGTGGACAAGACTTGAGGATGGAGACAGATGTGAATAAGGTGTGCTTCTTCCATAAGTTAAACACAGAAACTTTTCAGGATTGTTTCTTAAAGCATCCCCACAGGTTTTCTTTCCAGTTATCAATTCAAGTTAATGACGTTTCCTGAACTATCAGCCAAGGTACCTTTGCCTATCAGAGGATAACAAAATGTAAATTTCCAGCCATTTTAAATGTCTGGGGAATTGTTTTCATAATAAATTCCTTATAGCTCTCTATTTATTTCCCTCTAATTTTTTATCACTGCCTCCCCCTTGTTATTTTCTGACATTGCAGTACTGGATAATATTGTGACCTACTGAAAACTAGACTCACAATAATACAGAATAAGACAACCTAGGAAGGATCTTAAGTAGGTGCTGCCTAAGTTAGAAAAGTCACAAGGTCAGACAAAGTTTCTCAGCATTTTTAGCATCATGTCTTGAAAACCTCAAGACCAGACACTTAACTGTTATGGGCAATCTGCTAGACTTCTTGACAGTCCTGATGAAGAAATAATTCCCTTCAATCCACTCATATTCCTGCCATAAGCCAATGTGAAGAGACTGACTCAGGTTTTGTGATAACTGCCTCACAGGTATTGCCAGGCTGTTATTTTATTATTATTGCCACCTGGCACCTTCCCTCCTCTGGGCTGAACAAACCTGATTCTTCCTCTACTTTATCATCATGCTTTAGCCACTTTACTCTTCCTCAGTTACTGCTTTTGGCCATTAAATTTACTGGCTTCAGGAAAACTGGATGAATGTCTCCAGCATGGATTCCATCCTGGAGAACAAAACCAGTGTGTGGCTGGGTATAAACATGTGCAGTAATTTCCTAGTCCTGTTCTGCTGAGCTACTTCCAAACATCAAAGTACAGACATTTAGAAGTAAGCAAAAGAGAAGTCAGTGCTTGTGCACTACCATATTTTTGAATACAAAAAGATTGTTTCTCCTTTCAGAAGTGCTTGAAAGAAGAAATAATAGCTATTGGTAGACAAATGTGGTCAGTCGCTGCACTAAATATTGCAACAGATGTATGACAGGGAAAGGCCATGTCAGATAGAGGACTGTTTGGCTATTTGTCTTCTAAATGTAATTTTTCTGTCTCTTCTTATCTAGTTCAAATTTCCTGGAAGGAAATGTACAAATCTGTCCTCAGAAAAGACCTGTCTTTTAATTCCAGACTTCAGTGAAATAGTTAATGCCCTGACCACACATTCAGACTTTTGTTCTAACTATTCTCAACTTAATAGTTCTGCTTGACAACCAGAATTTTATTGTGAATTGCCCAATAGAATTATAACGTAAACTTACACAGTGAGGTAATTTTTTCTCTTCAAAATGTGTAAGGTGGATAACTGAAAATAATGTTACATGATCATAAGAAAATTGAGGAAGAGTCTTCATAATTTTCAGTAAACTGCTGCTTATTTTGACAGCAAGATGAAGAGTAGAGCACTAATACCAGCAAAACTGAATTTCTGTGATCTGATGTGTGATAATTTTTCTGCAAGTGAATAATCACAATAATGGGATCACACTAGAATTGTCCTTTGCATGCATAGTTTAAATAAGGACCTCTGGTCCACTAGGCCTTGTTTACCACCAGTAAGTGAGGCACTTGCTTTGAAGGTTGGTTCTAGCATCTGCATAAGCATTCTAGCGTGTAAAAACCTTGTAACAACCAGATGATGCTTTCAACGTGTGATCTGCTCTGTATAACACTGTCATCATGAGAAACAGTTGAATACCAATTTATCTGCAGCTTTGCTGAAAGGTTTATAGCACAGTGAGTAGTAATCACATTAGCTGCCTTTATCACTTGGACTGTACATTACATTAACATAATACAATTTTATAGCTTTAAGAAATATTAAACTGAAATGAAGGCAAGCAGTGCTTCACTAATGGATTTACAACATCTCTTATCCCTACTCAACTACAGTGTCTATAATCAGAGAGAATAATATTTGAACTTCTTTAGAAAGAGCTGTTGATTTCAAACATTGTGTTATTCTGCTATAGAGTTGCAATCTAATTGGTTTGTTGAGAGATGCAGAGAATGCTTTTGTCCTTAATCCTGATTTTAAATTGCTCTAAGTTTTTATTCTTGTATATGTCCATAACAGAGAGACACATGCATATGCACATACTTCCATAAGAGATTTTGAAACAAAAAATCTCTTCACTACAAATATACCATTAAAATTTGGTGGTGTACAAGTAATTATAATAATTTGTAATTTGTGAAAAGTAATTTGACTTGAGTCCCAAAAACCTCTGATTTTCCTCTAAGTATCTGAAGTAGCTTTGGTTCCTCTGGCAGGGAACATCGACAAGTTAAATACACAGCAAAAGAAATTTAATTAATCTTCTCACCCAAACCCTCTCCTTGAAGTAAGGGAAAAGAACACAGCAAACAAAAGCAGCTGTTCCTGTTCTTAAGGGAGTTTAAATGAGTAATAGGAGAAGTATATTTTCCTTGTTTCCACAGTCCCACAGAAGCATGAAGCTTGAAAATAAGAACCAAATGCATTACTGAATAAATCTTCATATACTTAATCTAAGATTTTTTAAAAATATTTTGCCAATCCCAGTAAAAATAATTACTAACAATAGTCAGACATGAAAATTGCTCTGCAAACAGTTCACAAGAATACTTATATCTCCTGTCATCATTCCCTAACAGTCCCCTGTTTTTTCCAGGGCTATCAGTGTTCCTGAGCTTCCATTTAAAGTTATATTCAACTTCTTCACATGGTAAAGATCTGACTCACAGCTCAGTAGCTCTGGCAAAAATACAGGAGGAATCTAGAATCTTAGAATCTCTGTTCAAAGCCTCTTGCATCCTCTCATCATCCTCAGCATATTGTTTTCTTCTTCTGAAACTGAGGAGGCATTTGCAGTCACAAGCCCTGATTATTCAGGCCAAACATTTCCATATTGACTTGGGAGCAGGGTCTCACACCAAATGGGTTGCCCACACTAAATCTTTATGCCAGATATCCTTAGAAGTCACATTATGCTGCTCGTGAGATTTATGTGTAGGAGTAGCCCAAAAGTTCTTGTGTCATTCAGGTGAAGTTTTATTGATTTTTTTTTTCTCCATTAACAACTGTTTCATTTTTCTGTAACTGGCTTTTAGGAAAACAAAAAAGGAAGGAGAAGATATTTTCTGGTTTGTTTGCCTCTTCATGACCTGTCTAAGACGTTCATGACAGTGAGATTTCTTGTTCATGCAATTTTACTTGTTCTGGAGAATTTGCAACAGGGGTCAACCACACAAATGTATATTTATTGAGAGGCTGATAATCCTGCCAAACTTGTGGCTCTCCCAAATGCTCCATCTCAATTTACAAAAATCTGGAGTTGCACTAAGACTTGGAGATGAATTGGCAAGCCCACTGGAATGAAGCAAGTTTACTTTCTTGTTCAGGATTTATTATTTACTCATTTTTACCAGAAATATGGGAACTTCCCTGTCTCTTCACCATCAGGATTTACGGCTTCCTTGCTTGTATGATTGTCTGATGATATTCAGAGGTACGTTTTGGGAATTCTTGTGTTGACCCTTTTCCTACTGAAGTAAAAATTGTTAAACATCTGTCAAACATTCGCCTGTTTCTATTATTTTATCCCATCCATGGTTGGCTGGGATTTTTCATTCAGCTACGGTCTCCTCCCAATATCCTTCCAACTTTAGAGTTTATTTACTATGGTGACAGAAAAGTAAATGTCTTGAAAAAGTCTGATAAGAGTGGGGCATGATTATATAAAATTATCATCTTCTTCCCTGTAGATGTACCTGGGGAGCACAAATGTTTATTTGAATTTCAAACTGTTATATATGTGCACACAGACCTATACATATATATATATATATATATATATATATATATATATATATAGCATTTCCCTTACATATTCAATGTTATTATGTGCTTCTTTCCTTCTTGTGCATAACGAAGTTGCACATGGTCTTGCTGCTAAAATTTAACCTAAAAATAAACATAATTTTATTTCTAGTTCCAGATCGGATACTGACTGCAGCAAATGCCTTGCAGTTTTTTGTACCTCAGATTATCTAGATAGGAAATAGAGACAAAATGTTATTGAACTTGCCTCTTGGGGGCTATACAGTCACTTGCTATCTTGAGGAGATAGGCAAGAGATGCATGCATTACTAGCAACATAGAAATAAATCCACTAACTTCTTAGATGCAAAATATATTGGGCTATCTCCAATTCAGTGAATCTGGTAAAAAAAAGGCACATTTCTTGAATAACATCTGCCTGGACTTTGTGTGGTTAAATGTTACAACATTTATTATGTCCTAGTGCCAGAAGCTAGCAGTTGAAAGCTGCGATTCACAGAAAAAAAGTGCCTCTGACCTCCTGTAATGGATGGCTGGCTCCCCTTTGGTCTCTGGGAGGGAAATGTGATGGGATACTGAATATTTTGATAGTTAATATATTTACTATTTAAAAACCAATTTGGACATTAAAAGAAGTCTTTATGTAACAGATTTCATTCATCTCCCTAACACAGTGAGCTTTGATTTAGGCAATCAAGATTTTCTTTATATTTAATTGTGTACACTTTTTCATTCAGTCAATGAGTTGTCAGCTTTTCATGTATTTTTAAAGCCTCATGAGTAGATGAACTGAAGTGCTGTTAATTATCAATTAAATTTTCTCCGAGTAGATTGTAAAAAGTTCAGATGAACCCAATTAGGAAGAATGAAGCTGCCTTCTGCACCTCTAGGCTCAATTATTTTTAAGTATATGATAGCACAGGAAAATAATCAAACTTTTCCTATCAATTATAAATGTGCTTCTTAAATGAGATGCTAAAAAATCAGAAATGCATAATTCAACAGTGAAGTTAATAGAAATACATTACTCTTTGTTTGGCTTTTTAGTACTTGCATGGTCAAGTGCTATTTTTACAAAAGAGATGATTTTGTGGATTTGTAGACTCTTTTTAATGTTGCAACATTTTTGGTTTAGAAATTTTTTCTACTACTGGATGCTTACTGTAGAAATTCTACAACTGAATGCTTGCTACAAATGCTGCACTTCTGCTTGCCAGTTATAATTGCATTAGTATAAATTTGGATGTTTATTTTGGTATTTGAATGCTTGGAGGTGTCAGTTTCATAGGGACCTGCAAAATTTCCACTGTTCCATCATACTTTTTCATTTGCCTCATTGATAAATAACTTTCCCCAGCATCATAAATGTACTTGATGTTTCAGAAGATCATGCTGACCCAAGTTTATTATCTCAGCACATTAAGGTGTGAAATGAAAGAAGATGGTGGGAGTAATTTCAAAAGAAGTTTAGCAAGGAGTGTGTAACTATTCTGGCCTAAAATAATGGATTTTCTGAAAAGAGGTGTTCAAAGCAGTGAAGGATGTGTGCTGATCAGGATCTTTGCTAAGAGATATGAGACAAAAATCTATTCAAAACTGAATTAGCGCCTTATTTTGTCTTAAGGCTGAAGAAATGGACAACTTTGGATAGGATTGAGTCTTCCCAACCACTTTTACTGGATATGACCGAAATACCAACTATCTTATAGCTGGGGTTGGTCTCTGCTAGCTGCAATGAAATATCATTCAAATACCACACTGACAGGTGAAAGCATTTTAGTTATCGAACTCAGTGTATTCATCAGGAGTTTGAAATAATTTTTTATTTTAATGTTCTGTATCTCTTCCCCCTTTCTGTTTATCTCACTTTTGTACTTACAAATAACATCCTTCTCTTAAGATTTTCTATCCCTTTGGTTATCCCAGTAGCACTCACCTTTACCCATGCAGATTGAAGTTTTGTTCCTCTTAATAGGAGTGATCACAGTTGTTTACCCTACTTCAGAGAAGTGATGTGCAGTGATACTAATATTTCAGGTTTTGCACTGGAAGCATATCTCCCTGCATATTCTAGAGTGACACTTACCTTTCTCTTAGTTGGTTTCTCTTTGTGACATCTTCTGATCCACTTTATCATTTACTTCTGGCTGATGATCTTCCAGTTAATGAAAAATTCTTGGTTTAACTCTTAAATGTGCACCATTGAGGATACTGTGCTGTTACTTTTAATCCTATTTCCATTACTCCATTCCTATAGTCATTCATTTCTTGCATATTTTTAGGAAACAGATTAGGGCAAGGATTTATCTGTCTCCTTTGCAGTTCTGATGACGCCTTTTTGTTCCTAGACCTGCATCAGATTTATCTTTTAATGAAAATCATAAGCCCATATCATCTCCCTTATATTCTGTTCCCGAGGGCCTACTTCTTATAAGCTTCCCACTCTCCTCTTCACTCTCTATTCTTTTCCAATTTAGATTATTTTGCATTAAACATAACAGTTTTATTCCTAGAGAGACTTTACATTTGCTAGTTGTAACTATTTGTATCAGCTTTCAGTTTGATGTTTATACTGTACTGTGCACAACAGACATTTGCTTATGATAGGAGTATATGTGACAAAAGAAATATTTAAAAAAATATTGTATGCCAACATGCAAAATCTCCTCAACATAATAAGAGAGTATTAAGTCTAAACTATGCACAGTACATCTGTCTTATTTTAAATAAACACTTTTACACAAATTGTTTCAACACAACAAGGAGACATCTGATATGTCAGCCTGGAGATGCTGGACATTTTAATGTTCACTGCCTATAGCCATAATATCAAAAAAGCATCATTAGTGGACTGGTAGTTGGTCTCAGCTTTGAATTCCAGTTTATTATGAGAAAAATATTCTGGTTTTATTGTGTTTTAAAAGCTTTAAAGAGTGGTGGTGATTTAGAAAGTAACTTCTCTGTGAATATGATTATTGGTATCCCTTTTTACTGTGGCACTAAAACATACTTGTTCCTCTTTAAAATGTTTTTTACAGGACAGGACTGGCACATATACCCCTGATTCATAATCTGATGCACTCTAAACTATGAAAACATATCTGAGATCTTTCTAAAACATAATTTCTAAATGAAAGAAAAGTACAAACCCTTGAAAACTCAGTCTTATTATTCCCCCAAAAATAACCATAAGAATAAAAGTATTAATGTCAGTTAAAATCTTTCCTTCATCTCAGATATTTTTTTTAATTTAAAATAATAATGATAAAATTTTGAAAATTACCACTTTCTTTTACTTTCATAAATCTGGGTAAAATGTCTGGTTCTTCATTCCTTCTGGAGATCAATTCCTCTCAATCCACACTTCTTTCCAGCTTGTTACTCTCCAAACAAGAAGCAGCTACATATGATGTATGAAGACATGTTTTAAAACAGTGATGGTTGTCTTGAAGCTCTGGTTTGTGTGATTGACCTTAGACATTTTTAGCTTTCAAGAAAGCCAGTATTTTAACTCCAGTGGTTTTTGAAGGTCTGTCTCATGTGCTAACACAAAAAAATGCATGCAAAAGTATCTTTTCTGCTTAATCTAATTATTCATTCAATTTATTAATGTATCTCCATTTTATTGTCTGCTCCCAGAAGTAAATATTTTCCAGAATCAAATAATTCAACTTTCATCTCTAGTTGTTTCATTTGTGGGGAAGGAGTATTTCAAAGTAATCAAAACCAGAAAACCAGTCCACAAATTAGGTTTTAAAACCACATCTTATTGTGCTTAGGCTTGATTTATAATACTTGAATACCACAGGTTTGAGGAAATTTGAAAAAAAAATGAAGTTCAACTAATAATGGTAAGTAATCATTATATCTAAGTTTACCCTTTCAATGTTTTCCTTGTTTAGTTTATTATTTTAGCTAGGACTTGGAACAGAAGGATAACTCACATTCTGTGGTTTTAGCTAAAAAATTATATAACTGTATTTTTCTAAAACAAAGTGCAAAAGTCTGAAGAAATTATTAGTTCACTCAGGAACAAACAATGCTATGAAATCAAAAGCACCCCCAACAGGTTTTAGAGTTTTTTCAAAACGTGTTGATTTCATTTTGCTGTTCTTCCCTAAGCTCTTCATGTGCCTGCTGATCAAATTGTCTCTGTAGTCACAGTTTTTCTGCCCACAGATAATGCATCACCATAACAATTCTCTTTTTGTACTGCCCTAAATCACTCTGCTCCCACAATACACCCTGACTGAGACATGGTTCCTATCTACCAATCCTGTACAATTTTTACAGTGGCAACTCAGTCTTCCTACATTTGTACCACTGCTCAGAAAGGACACCTAATCTCAGCGTAGAGTACTGTTTTACAGCCAAGTGGCAAATTAAATCATACTGCTGGGGAACAGAATTAGCACTTACAGAAAAGTGAATGCTAATACATGTGGACTTGAGTCTTTCATGTCTTCATCTTAAACATTACTTGACATGTACTTTGTGTTTCAGTAGTTGGCTCAAACCCACACAAATATCTAACCACTCAAAAAAGCACTTTACAGATAATTAGCACTGAACCTGTTTGAATTCTGAAAATGCTTATTAACTTCTCTCTGAATCCAGAATACTGGCAATTTCTGAATATATGCATGGCTTTTTATTTTAAGTTTTAGGTTCTGTAGACATCTAGATTTTGGCCTAGAGTGTCTCATGTGCACATATTTCTGCAGCTAGGTTGTATACCCCAGAAGCTTGCTTTCTCTCTGATGTGTGACCCCTATGATCTGAGTTGCATATTCCATTATCTCACATATGGAACGCATTTGAAAATTGCATTGTGAACACACATCTATTTCTGCCTAAAAAGAGAACAGGAAATGAGATTAAATTTATTCTTTATTTATAAATTAACTCAACAGTTAATGGACTGAGCCAATTTGTAAAAATCTAGGTTTTGTGTCATACTCTGCTTTTAAATTTTTTTAAAGTGATTGTTAGTTATCAAATGATGGCAAAAAGTACTAATGAAAGGTATTTTAAATTTCTTTTGAAGTTGCTCTCTTTTGCACAGTATAATTAAATGCTTGCTGGGTCAAAGAAAAAAATACAGTAAGTAAAGCAACCACTAGGGAGAGAACTAAGAACTGAATATTAGTGCCATTGAACACCTTACACAATACCTTTTAATGCTAAATACAGCAGGGCAGTGTTCCTATTCTAGAATGCTCACTTATTGTGCTAGTTAGTGGATATTTGCTTAGAACGTGGATGAACTTTCAAATTCCAGCAGGCACTGACACAGATATTTTAATCCCTATGTTACTACGTTAGAAACTGGGAGTATCAGAAAGTAGGTGATAGATTTCTTGAGAGCTCTATGAGACAAGATTTTGACAAGTGAATAGCTTCTGGAAGTATCTGAAATTGTGACACACATATCCATTCAGACCCAGACTGAGGCAACAGAAAATATGCCCTTCCATGAGACTGAAAAGATACTCCTTCCATTTGGGCTGCCTTTCTGCCCATGATCTTTCTGTTGGTTTGTGCAGATTTCTTTCTAAAAGAGCTAAATTTGTGTTGTAAAAAGAAACTACATAACTTCAGGCTGTCAAAGTCACCAAGACAGTTGAATTGTTGTGTAAAAGACAACTAAAGTATCAGAGGACTGCTGCTCCTTCCTCTGTATCACGTGGCTTGAATTATGTGGGCAATTTGTATGTCACAAAGAGAACTTCAAGCTTCTAAAGATATTTGAGTTGTATTTAGTTAGTTGTTCTTCTTTAGAGCTTTTCCTTCAGTAAATTCTGGCCGCCTATATACTGGAATGCTGCCTATATAATGGTTAAGATTAAATTAAGCTTATCTTTCTTATTGAAAGGAAAAAATAAATTTAAAAAAACCTCAATCAACAGACCAAAAATATTCCACAAAATATTCAGATAATATATTACAACACGGACTCTGATAAACACATCTTTTCTGTGTGCAAAACTGTAAACATTTCTGCAGTAATTATTGCTAGGATAATGAACATTTAACCTAGAGAAGATACTAATTTATTATTATTACTGCAACTTATTATCAAGAATATTCTAATTTCCTCGTAACTCTGAGTTTTTGTCGTACATTGACAAAGTCAACTGTTTACAATTTTGCTTATAACAAAACAATAAGAAACAAGAAAATCCAATATTAAATATAATTTAAAATGGATTTTTGTATTATATTTCAAATTATGTTTTTTCTAATGAATTTAAATTATTAATCTTAGCTTACTGATTAAAATTAAATGCCTTCAGCATATCAAATTTAGATGCTTCTAAATGTATACAAAGAAAAGATAATACAATTGCAGCAATAACAACACTAAGAGGTGAAATAGCACTAGGGAGGAAAACTGCATCATTAAAAGTTTTATCTCAATGTGACAGACCACAGTGGCATTTGGGAGGGCTATAACTCAAGCAATAATACAGAATGAAAGTTTGTAATTTATTAATAGGAAACTATATCAATCAGATTTGCCCCATAAATGTGTGAATCAAATTCAAGTCTGAAAATAGACTGAAAATGCATTGGTGAGTCAAATACTGCAATATATTTAAGTAAAACCTTGGTTTCCCTAAAAGATTTATTTGAGAAAAAGACTAACAACTTTTGTAACACTTAACAGCTCAAGCCCCTGAATCTTTCTGCTAAAGAAGAGCAATGAAGTGATGTACTAAGTGTGCTAAATTTATATATTAAAAACTCTTTATTAGAAATTGTACTTTCCGCTGATTTTCACATGAGGTTAAACAAGTTAAAATGTATCTGGCAAATACTATGACAATATTTGTTGATCCTTTCCTTCATGATAGCAAGTGGAGGAGAGGGTAGGCAGGCAAAGGATCTGAGGTGCTGCAAACAGAAGGGACATAGCAATCAGAATATCAGGCTGAAGTGGGATTGCCAGAAGCACAGGGATGTAAACAAAGAGCTTGTGCCAAAGTCTTGAGAGGGAATTTCTTATTCTCTTCATGGGGAGTCAGCACACTTGAGTGCTCCTTGAAATGCCTGTACACCATGCACACAGACCAGAAAACAGAAAGAATTGGGAGCCCGTGTGCAGTTACAGGATTATGACCTCATTGAAACAATGGAGATGTGGTGGGATAGATGACACAACAGAGTGCTGCAAAACACAAACACAGGCTCCTTAAGAAACACAGGCTGGGAATGCCAGGGGGAGTTGTCCTTTGTGTGAGAAACAAGTTGGAATGCATGGAGCTCCGCCTTGTGATGAGTGATGAGCTGAGAGCTGCTGTGTTGGGAACTGGTGGGCAGATCAACATAGGTCATTCCTAATAGGAAAGGAGTAGTTGAGATCTTTGTCAGGCAACATGAACTCTCATATTCCCAGTTGCTGGTTCTTATGCCTGACATGTCACCCTGACATCTGCTAGAAAGACAACATAGCAAGGAAAAGCAAACTAGGAGGTTTCTGAACTGCACTGACAACAGCCTCTGACACAAGTGATGCAGGAATTAATAAGGAGTGGTCAGGGATGTGGAATTCAGAGACATTCTTTGACTGCTGTAACCAGGGACAGTGGAAATCAGGATCCTAGGCGGCTGGACTAGCACAAAAAGCAGATCATTACCCTGGTCATCAGAAGCCCAGATTTTTGCCTGCTCCCTTTAATCAAGAGAGAAAAATGTGAAGTTCTGCACCTTGGGAGAAATGGCCTCATGCAACAATGTGTTTTAGGGCCAACTGTCTGGAAAGCAGTTTTTTAGAAAAAGACCTGAAAAATCTAGTGGAAAACAAGTTAAGGAGGAGCCAAAAATGTGCCCTCATGACACAATGTGCCCAATAGAAAAGCAGGCCAAGGAATCTTTGGCTGTAATTAGAAGTGTTGCCAACAAGCAAACAGAGGTGATCCTTTCCCAATACTCCAATGCTGGGCTCCTGAGTACCAGGGAGAAATGGAGCCACAGGAGAGGGCTAAGTGAAGGGTTACAGAGGGGGTTAAGGGACTGGAGCATCTTCCATAGGAAGACAGAGAGCTGGAACTGTTGAGCCTTGAGGAAGGTTGGAGGGGAGAGCAGCTGGAGGTCCGTCACTAACAGCATACTGCAGGGATCAAATACTGGCACCATAACTATTTAACGTCTTCATTAATGACATGGGTGATGGGGAAGGGCTCATCCTGATCAGGTTTGATACAAAACCTGGAGAAATAGCTATAAAAACTAGCCATTAGATATGTGTGCTATCATTCAGAGGGACACAAACAGGCTGGAGAATTGAGCAGATAGGAATCTTTTGAAATGCAGGAAAAGCTTTGATTGACCTTGCTTGAACAGTCTGATTACACTACATAGTCTCAAGACTTCTCTTCCAGCTTCAAAAAATATGTGATTTTGTGATTCAGTAACTGATGAGGTACATTCTGCATTTATTCTCACTGATGTTGATAGGATATCATTAAGTGTCTAACCCCTAGAGGCATGCAATGAGCAAATGTCTCCGAGGGCTATGTACTATCCTGTATTTAGAAAAGATCATATCATAGGTTAACAATCTTTGACAAGTGCTGTAAAAAAATCAACTGTAAAAGACTTTGGAACAGCTCACTAGAAAGGATGACTGACTAATTATAGCTCAAGAAAACTCTGGTATATAATTTCTAAGGTGATATTCCAAAGCTCATCAGAGTAATTTCCTTCACATCTATTGGTTTGGATCAGGCCCTTTTTGAATAAAAGAAAACAGACAGTGTATAAAATGTATAAATAAGGAAACATTTAAAAAATACTACAGACAGAAAATATCTACCTCATATAACATTTTTTTTGGACAAAATAAATAAAGGAATCACATTTTCAGGAATCTGGTAATTACACACTTGCTATGGAACTTCTACTGGATGGATCTTTTGCAAACAGAAAGCTAAGGAATAAGCACTGAATAAGCAATTTGGCTTCAAGAAACACACCACATGTGCTTGCAGCTTGTTACCTCACCTATGATGATAAAGCTGTCTGAGGGTAAACTGCGCATTGAACCAGCCTGTGTCAAAATACTGCTCTTCTTATTTACTGTACTTGGAACATTTTTAAATTTGATTTTTAAATTTGATTTTGTAAATGATGCCTCCAAGCTTTATTAGCTTTACTATAAGACTAGAAAGGCTATAAACTTTAGATGAGAAGAGGGAGGACAAGGTGCCTGAGGAAGTTGGACTCTAATTTAACTTTGCTTCAAAACCAGAGAGAGTAATGAAATCCCAGCCTAAAGGCTGGATTTGTGAAGATTATTTAGGCGTAGATGAAGGTGTAGATGGATGTCTAGTGTGATCTCAAAAGCATTAAACGTGAGTTTAATGGGTATTTCCAAAAACAAAAAAAGCCTATTTCAGTCTGTAATTTCCTAGGTACCTTCCAAACTAGATCTTGAGACTGTGAAAAGTGGCTCGCAAAACAAGCAACACATCTTGTTCCCAAATCAGATTATTGCTGAGTCTTACACTCTAGGTCTGAAAACTCTTGTACCTTGAGATGACTTGTTGACCTTGGATGGAAAAAGCAGAAACATGGTTTTTATCTTACATTTTACGTATCTTACGGTTTACGTAAAATTATTACCAACTATATGTTTATATTTTCTCTTATGCTCTTAAAATCCTGCTCTGAATCAGGAAAGAATTTGAAAATTTGGCATACCTTCTTCCGGATAAGTTTTCACTAGTTTAACTGAATTGCCTCATAAAATGTATAATTTGCTTGAGTCAATGCAATATCGGTATAAATGTGAACCAGCAGAGAGGTTTCCCTGGTGTTAATTCTCAGACTAGTGACTAGTAGTGTCCTAGTACTGTACATGGGACAGACATAAGGCTGATGGTTACGGAGAAACTTAGGCCCTTCAGTCATAACCAAATCTCAGGGAATGAAAATAAAAAATATTTGGAGAGGACAGGCTTTGTTGATTAAGTTTGTATTCTAATGTTCTTAAATGCATGTGTGCACCTCTGAAGGGCCTTCTGCTATTTGCCTGAGACCAAGCTGTAATCAGTTCACATATATGACTTCATGGAAGTTTGCTCCACATTTTTCTGTGGGAATTATTCATGAATGTGAGGAAGAAAAGAGATAATTTCTTTTCTTTTTCCATCACTGAACCTGCACTCACTTTTGTTTAGTGAGAGCATCTGTTCAATTTCTTTAATATTATCAAGTCGTCAAGGAGAGAAAAAGCTATAAAATATGAAAGAGGGAAATGAAAAATGACAAGGAAAATTTAGATCAGGCACCATGAAAAATGACTGACTAAAATACTTGAAGGAAAACCTCCCAGAGGAAGTCATGAGGGGTGCTAATCTAGAGATGTGCAAAATTAAGCTGAAAAAATTTAGTTATCAGCAAGTGTGCATTAGGGAATGCAGCAGAGAACTGAAGCAGGCTACCAGATTTACAGAGAAGCACTACTGTTGCCTTGAAACAGGCTCCTGACCGTAGATCCTCAGGGTTAGCAGGCTCATGCATTAAAAGACTTAATTAGAGAATGTAATGGGGTAGTAAATTTGATAGCCATCTTTTCTATTAAAAAATTGGACAAGTGGAGTGCCATACTTGTAGCAAAACTAAGAGTTTAAATTCATGTTTTCTAGAATACTGATTATTCAGACTTAATTATTCAGACTTCCTCTGAATGGGAAAATAGTTTTTCAAAGCACAAATTTAAAAATGTTGTTCATGTAAAAATGGTCAAGGAGAAGATTAGGAAAATTAAAAAACTTTGTTGACTAGTGATTCTGAGGATGGAAAGTAGCAGAATTTCAGCTTTTCAAAGAAGTATATATATATATATATATATATGTACATATACGTGTGCTAAATCATGTATAACATACTGAATGTAAAGTGGAAGTGAAAACTTAATTATTCTAAAATAGGACAAGTTTATTTTTAACATTATTGCAGCCCAATATGCATCATACTTCTCTCCTAAGAAATTATTGTTCTACAAAGCATTTAAAATTTGATAGTTGTGTTATAGCGTAAAAATTCTTAATTCATTTTTGAAATACAAGTTGGAAGCAAAATTAATGTGATTTTGCTTCCTTTTTAATTTTTGTTTGAAGTGGTTGTATGTTCTTTTTTTGCTAGAAATAGCTGGGTTTTACTCATTACTTAGGCTACATCAATACTATTATGTGAATTACCGTGCTCTCAGAGCTTACTGCTAGGAGT